TCTTTATAGAGGCCTATATATATATATATATATATATATATATATATATATATATATATATATATATATATATATATATAATATAATAATATATGTATAGAAGGAGGTTTGTCTCCTGGTTTCAGTGGTGAAATTTGGGAGAAAATACATGGCTGTGAAGTGGTAACTCCAATAGCTAAGATCACTCCTTAGAAACTGAAAAATGACTATATTTTGTGTTAAACAATGTTTTTCAGTAAAATTCACATGGATGTGTTATTATACTTAAAAGATGTTGAGCCAAAAAATAAAAATTCTATAAAAATTTCCAAACTGGCATGATGCATGTTTCTACAATTTGTTTTATTTCGACGGAGCGCCTGATTTCACCATACACTGTCAATAATTATTGTAAGAAACCAGCCAGCTTGTATCTCTCTATATATATGTGAGGCGTGTTGACAAAATGAGTTAATTCGCGCAATCCAAGAATGGAAATATTGGACGAAAATTTACCTGCTTAGGTCAGATTTATTTATTTATTTTTATTTGATGTTATTTTGTTCAAAGTCTACTGTGTCTTTTATTGTTCGCAACACTTACAAATTGTACAAACTCCACCTATAAAGTTGATGTATTAATTGCCATAAGGCCAAAATCTGAGAAGTAACTAATTTAGTCACCACACCTCACACACACACACATATATATATATATATATATATATATATATATATATATATATATATATATATATAGAATTGACTCATATTTTGTTATCTCAATACGCATGTAATAATATTGTTATGACTGTACAAATACTACTGACAAGATCAATATGATAATACTTTAAGTACTTCTTGTAGTTCGGTTCATGGTCTAACTGTCCACGTATTCTCTATTTCATGTGACAAGTGTACAGCGATGGCATCCTCCGACCAGCTGAAGTCTTTGCCATCTCAGCGTAAGTTGATCTGGGAGAATTACAATGAGCAGAAGACACAACACTGGCCAGCCAGGGGGAGGCATATACTGGCGCACTACGATGACGAAGGCATCGTTGTTTATCAGGCGTTCAACAAAGCTATAGCTGAGTACGCGGTCAAATTTCAAAGGTTTGTAGTTCATTTCGTGAAAAGTTTTGAAAAGAATTTTGTTCTAAATTAAGTTTTTCCAAAGAATTTTCTTTCTCCTCATTATCCTGTGCGGATCATGGTTGGAGCTGGTGCCACTGGTATGTCCTACTTCTTTGCTTTCCCTTTGTTTTTTCTGTCTGTTGGCCTTATTTTTTCCCCAGCACTGAATGACCATTTATTCTGTTGATTTTCTTATTAAATATATTTAACTCGAACAAATCATTATCCTGGTATCGGCAGAGTATTCTAAATTGTATAATTCTTTTTGTGCGAAAATCTCTTTGTGTTGTCTTGTTTAATCATTTTGTTGGAATGCATCACATTTAATTTATCTCTCTTTGGGGTGGGATGCCTCATCCTACTCAGCCTGGGTTTGTCCTGACATGCAGGGTCATGGGGTCAAGCAAGCCTGCCAGCTAAATGTGTCACAACGCGGTGGAATATCAGGCGCTCGTCAATTTTTGGGCATATGGAGTTATTGGTATCATCTTAAAGTTTGTTTATTTGTCTTGCTTTCAGTGAAAAAATTACCCATCTATATTTAATAAATGTCATGGGATTTGCTATTGAAGGAGGTGGGGTTTCGGAGGTAAAAATAGTGAGAGAATGGCCGCCAAAATTTGATGAATACCATACCTGGAGAGCCCTGGGAAACTGAAAATTTACATTTTTGGTACTTTATTGATAAAAGATATTTACGCAAAAAAATATAAATTTGATTAATATTGTCAAACCGAAAGAAAATTGCCAGTTTCTTCAATTTCATTATTTTGACGAGTGCCTGATTTCACCATGCTGCCCCACAAATTGTGTTGTAAGAGGAATAAAAATCATCCAATAAGACTACTCTCTGGCAGTTTTGATGACTCAAGCTGCACAGTGGAACAAAGACTCGAAGATACTGAACTCTAATCACAAACGTTTCCTTTTTGTCTTTATTTTTACTTCTTCTATTTGACAATGACAATGACAATCTTTATTCTTCTCGCAGGGAGAAATTTGTCTTGGTCGTTAACAATTCCTGTAGACATTACAAAAGTTAGACCGAAAGGTGCACTCACGCAAACGCACAACAAGACAGGACATTAGGCAAAGTAAATACATGTCTCTTGGGCTGGGACAACTCACTCTGTAAAACAATTTGAAGAAGTTAATGGATGTTTTTCGATTGGCACTTAGCTACTCCCCACTTATTTTTCCACTTTTGTGTTCATCTTCCAGATTTGGCGGTCCGGCTTACCGGTTTGAGCGCATGTCTTGGATCAAGACAAACTTCATGTGGATGATGTATCGATGCGGCTGGGCCAGTAAACCCAATCAGGAACACGTGCTGGCAATCAGGATCTCTCGGGCCGCTTTTGAAGATATTCTCTCTAAGGCTTTAACAATGGAGGTTTGCTATCATGTTGACTTTCAGAAAGTTTTCGTTTACACTTGCACTTGCTCTCACATGCTTACCACCACACACTCATGCTCATACTCACACAATGTACATACTCTTTTTTTTTTCATGAATGAAAGCCTGCTCACATGTTGGCTTACACCCTCACACACACACTCTTTCATGTATGCAAGCATGCTAACACACAAATGTTTAAAAAAATTTTTTTTTTACCCTGCCCAATTTTATCTTCTGGCGCTTTTGTGTTTAGTAATAACAACCAACTGTGCAGCATTTTGGATTTTGAAATTAGCTGTTAGTCTTAGAGTAAACACACCGGAGAATGTTCCACATATGTATAAATAAATAAATAAATAAATAAATATTTTTCTTCACTCTTATAACGTTTATTGGGACTGGATTTTTTTTTGTCCCGTGTCCTGATGTTGGTGCCCACATTTCATTTATTTGTTGGTTATGTAAGAATGTATTGACATGGTGCAACTTGTTATGTTTTCTAGAGAAACGAAACAAGGGAAAGGGGGAATAGTTAAGTCAGTGATGATGATGATGATGATGATGATGATGATGATGATGATGATGATGATGATAATGATGACGTTTCTGTTATTGCCAACGTCAACAGAAGCAGAAAGAGCAGTCTGTCTCCGCAGACAAGTTACAAGTTCGGCTACAGTGGGACCCCGACCACAACCCCCAGGGGGGCCCTGCTGCCTCACGACGGGCCATACAGCTGGGTCTCAAGGGACAGGTAGTGTAATAATAATAATAATAATAATAATAATAATGGTAGTGTAATAATAATAATAATAATAATACAGTAATAATAATAAACGGTAGTAATAATTATTATAATAATACGGTAATAATAATAATAATTTGATAAATATAATAATAATAATGATAATAATAATACTAATAATGGTAGAGTAATAATAATAATAATACTATAATAATGATAATAATAATACTAATAATAATAATAATAATAATAATAATACGATAATAATAATAATAAAAATAATAATATATAACATTTATATAGCACATTTCCGAAAAAAAGTATCCCAATGCGCTTTACATTGGAATACTCATTTTCAAAACCTTTAGTACTACTTCCTTTCTTCTTA